TTCTGTTTTTTTTTTATTTTTCTTTTTTATTCTGTTTTTTTTATTTTTCTAATTTTTATTCTGTTTTTTTTTAATTTTTTGTTTTTTATTCTGTTTTTTTTTTTATTTTTCTGTCTTTTATACTGTTTACTTTTTTTTATTTTTCTGTTTGTTTATATATTTATCTATTTTTTACGGTTTACTTTTATTTTTCGTTTCTTGCTTTTTATTATTTTGTTTAAAATTTTTCTGTTTTATTAAATTATCTTTTTTTATTTCTTTTTTTTTAATTTCATTTTTTTAATTATTATTTATTTTTGTTTTATTTTTTTTTTAATTTATCTTATTTTTAATTTTTTTAATTTATCTTTTTTTTAATTTTTTTAATTTATCCTTTTTTTAATTTTTTTAATTTATCCTTTTTTTAATTTTATTTATTTATCTTTTTTTCAATTTTTTTTTTATTTATACCTTTTTTTAATATATGTTTTTTTTATTTATGTCTTTTTTTAATATATGTTTTTTTAATTTATGTTTATTTGAATTTAATTTTTTTAATATATGTTTTTTTTAATTTATGTTTTTTTTAGTTCCGTTATCTACTTTTTATTTTTTATATTTTTCTGTTCATCATTCTTTTTTATATTTTGTGCTTATTCATTTTTGTTTTTTATTCTTCGTTTTTTTATTTTTCTGTTTTTTTTTTATTTTTCTGTTTTCTTATTTTTCTATTTTTTTATTTTTCTGTTTTTATTTATTTTTTTATTTCTTTAATTTCTTTTTTAATTAATCTTTTTTTATTTGTTTTTTTTTTTAAGTTACATTTTTTTAATTTTTTTTTTATGTATTTGTTTTCATTTTCTTTGATTTTCGTTTTTTTATTATTAATTAATTTATATTTTTCTGTTATCATTCTTGTATTATATTTCTGTTCTTTTAATTTTTGTTTGTCATTCTTCGTTTTTTTTATATATTTTTTTTATTTTTCTGTTTTTTTACTTTTCAGCTTATTTTTACTCTTCTCTTTTTTAATTTTTTTAATATTTCTCCTTTTAAATAATATTTAATTATTTTTAATTTATTAGGTTTTTAATATTTTGTTTTTAATTTTTTTTATATACTTGTTATCTATTTGATTCTCCATCTCTTTTCTTATTTTTTTTTGTAATAACACAGTTATTTTATTTATTTATTTATTTAATTATTTGTTTATTTTATGGTTTTGTTCATTTGATATTTTTAATATTTTTTAGTTTTTTCTAATTCTAATTTTTTTTTATTAAATATATTTTCATTTTCTTTTAGTCCACAAAAATTAACCATAAAATCAGATGAAGCAAGGCGAGGTAAAAACATACAGTGCATGCATATATTTATGTATATAAATATAGTAAATGTATATCTTACGATCATTAAAGTGGAGTTTAATTCACGCACTTGCCGGATAGCAGAACGCATGCATATGTATGTATGTACATATGTCATTAAACAAACTTGTTTAATCAGCAAATGTCACAGAGTTTAACGCTTTTTTATGGCTAATTTAACTACGCGTTTTATAATTTAAATAAAATTTATTATGAGATGGCACCAGGAAGTGAAGGATGCGTGGTATTTTATCGATTTATGTGACTTTAACGATTGTTTCGGTTGCCATTTCAGCGCTCTTACCAAAAAAACTAATTAATTAAATTATAAAAATTATTTTAAAGCTACGCAAAGAGTTGGCTAGATCAATTGTAGCTTAGCAGAGACATTGGGAAAGTCGATAGTAAGGCTTCTCAGAATCTATAATAAGGCCTCTCAGAGAAGTGAAGATCAGCCTTCATATTAGTAGATGTTGGGTATTTGAAGGCTCTCCTTAAATGTGATCATTTATAGTTATGAGCTAACTCCAGTAGATTGACATTAAACGAGTTATTTTAAGTTTCTTGTGCAAGAAAATTAACGGTCATACTTAAGGATGTCTAATAAAAAGTCTAAGAAAACAACTTCCCGAGGTATTAAGCCGAGGAAATCTTTGCCGGTCGAAGGCGGAAATCCTATTAATATGGGTAGTGCCGTTATTTCTAGAATTAAACGTTAGTAACAGCAAGACCATTGGAGGTTGTCCAACCTTATGGGACTTCAGTAATATTGTAAATAGATATTTTATTTTAGAATAAATTGGAAGTTTGCAATTTTTATTTGATTAAACCAAAAAAGGGAAGCCAATTATCGTGCGTAAATCGAAGAATGAATACCACTGAAAATCCCTAGAATTTATCTTTTGGTTAATCCCATGTCTAAAATTGGAAATTGACTGGGCTCGCAGCTTTTTTTATTTTAATTTCTAATCATTTCCATTTATTAATTAATTTTTCTATCCTTTATTCGTTTTTATTTCTTCCGTTTTATTATTTTCATATTTCAATTTTCCTTTTTTTAATTTTTACTTTTAAATTAGATGTGATATTTATGTTTTATAATTTATTTTTTCATGTTTTATTTTCGTGCTTCCTTTTTACTTATTTGGTTAATTTTAGTATTAAAATTTTTAATATTTTTTTCATTTCCAAGTTTTATTATTTTTATTTTTTTATTTAATTTTTTATCTTTCATTTTATATTTACTTTTATTTTACTTTTAATTCCATTCCTGTTATTTCCATTTATAAGATATGAAATTCAGTTTTTTTTTGTTTTTTATTTTTCCCATATATATTATTATTATTTTGTTTTATGTTTGTTTTCATATTTTATTTTATGCTTATTTTTATTTTTTATTTTTTATTTCATGTTTATTTTTATTTTTTATTTATTATTTTATGTTTATTTTTATTTTTTATTTTATGTTTATTTTTATTTTTATTTTTATTTTTTTATTTTTATTTTTATTTTTATTTTTATTTTTTTATTTTATGTTTATTTTTATTTTTTTCGTTTATTTTTATTTTATATTTTATGTTTATTTTTATTTTTATTTTTTTTATTTTTAAAGTGAAAATATATTCACATTATAGATTTATTTGGAAATAATATTTCAATTTATTTGAAAATANTAATTTTTTTTTATTAAATATATTTTCATTTTCTTTTAGTCCACAAAAATTAACCATAAAATCAGATGAAGCAAGGCGAGGTAAAAACATACAGTGCATGCATATATTTATGTATATAAATATAGTAAATGTATATCTTACGATCATTAAAGTGGAGTTTAATTCACGCACTTGCCGGATAGCAGAACGCATGCATATGTATGTATGTACATATGTCATTAAACAAACTTGTTTAATCAGCAAATGTCACAGAGTTTAACGCTTTTTTATGGCTAATTTAACTACGCGTTTTATAATTTAAATAAAATTTATTATGAGATGGCACCAGGAAGTGAAGGATGCGTGGTATTTTATCGATTTATGTGACTTTAACGATTGTTTCGGTTGCCATTTCAGCGCTCTTACCAAAAAAACTAATTAATTAAATTATAAAAATTATTTTAAAGCTACGCAAAGAGTTGGCTAGATCAATTGTAGCTTAGCAGAGACATTGGGAAAGTCGATAGTAAGGCTTCTCAGAATCTATAATAAGGCCTCTCAGAGAAGTGAAGATCAGCCTTCATATTAGTAGATGTTGGGTATTTGAAGGCTCTCCTTAAATGTGATCATTTATAGTTATGAGCTAACTCCAGTAGATTGACATTAAACGAGTTATTTTAAGTTTCTTGTGCAAGAAAATTAACGGTCATACTTAAGGATGTCTAATAAAAAGTCTAAGAAAACAACTTCCCGAGGTATTAAGCCGAGGAAATCTTTGCCGGTCGAAGGCGGAAATCCTATTAATATGGGTAGTGCCGTTATTTCTAGAATTAAACGTTAGTAACAGCAAGACCATTGGAGGTTGTCCAACCTTATGGGACTTCAGTAATATTGTAAATAGATATTTTATTTTAGAATAAATTGGAAGTTTGCAATTTTTATTTGATTAAACCAAAAAAGGGAAGCCAATTATCGTGCGTAAATCGAAGAATGAATACCACTGAAAATCCCTAGAATTTATCTTTTGGTTAATCCCATGTCTAAAATTGGAAATTGACTGGGCTCGCAGCTTTTTTTATTTTAATTTCTAATCATTTCCATTTATTAATTAATTTTTCTATCCTTTATTCGTTTTTATTTCTTCCGTTTTATTATTTTCATATTTCAATTTTCCTTTTTTTAATTTTTACTTTTAAATTAGATGTGATATTTATGTTTTATAATTTATTTTTTCATGTTTTATTTTCGTGCTTCCTTTTTACTTATTTGGTTAATTTTAGTATTAAAATTTTTAATATTTTTTTCATTTCCAAGTTTTATTATTTTTATTTTTTTATTTAATTTTTTATCTTTCATTTTATATTTACTTTTTATTTTACTTTTAATTCCATTCCTGTTATTTCCATTTATAAGATATGAAATTCAGTTTTTTTTGTTTTTTATTTTTCCCATATATTTTATTATAATTTTGTTTTATGTTTGTTTTCATATTTTATTTTATGCTTATTTTTATTTTTTATTTTTTATTTCATGTTTATTTTTATTTTTTATTTTTTATTTTTTATTTTATGTTTTTTTTTATTTTTTATTTTATGTTTATTTTTATTTTTTATTTTTTATTTTTTATTTTATGTTTATTTTTATTTTTATTTTTTATTTTATGTTTATTTTTATTTTTATTTTTTTATTTTTTTATTTTTATTTTTATTTTTATTTTTTTATTTTATGTTTATTTTTATTTTTTTTTTTCGTTTATTTTAATTTTTTATTTTATGTTTATTTTTATTTTTTTTTCGTTTATTTTTTTTTTATTTTATGTTTATTTTTATTTTTATTTTTTTTATTTTTAAAGTGAAAATATATTCACATTATAGATTTATTTGGAAATAATATTTCAATTTATTTGGAAATAATATTTAATTTCCAGAAAACAAATCGTTTCTTTATGTACACACATATTTCTGGAATAATTTATTTTTACAAATTAATTTCCAAAATTTACCTTATAGACTTGCCCATAAGTGCCATTGCCGACAACCTCGATTAACTCGAAGATACCAGCGGGATCCTGAAACGTAAGATAAACGAAATTATTAGAAAATTATGTAATATTTATGTTGATATGGATATAAATAATTTATAAATACAATTATAAAACAGAGAACTGAGAGCTTTCGGCATTGCCTCAGTATCCTGCCACATCTCATACTGCTCCACCACCATCACCTCCACATCACCGCCGCACACTACATGTCAATTTCTTTGTTTACAAATCACTTCAAACGCACACACAGGTCAATGACACAGGCGGCATGGAGGAGGTAGTAGATGAAAAACAAAAGCTAAAATCGATAAGAACCAGAGTGGGTGAGCAGCAAAAAAATAATTAAAAATCAAAAACAAAACAAAAAAATACAAATAAAATTAATTCCCGTGAAAAACACTAAAAAGGCCATTGAGCAATGGATTTATTTCTTTTAAATATGTCGGTATGCATGTATGCATGTATGTTTATTGAAAGAGTGTTTTGTTTGGCTCATGCTTACTATAATCGCACTATTTTTGGGCCTACTCATATATATAACGCACATACATATGTATATATGTACATACAGACGTACACCTTCACAGCAGAGATTTCAACAGGTACACTTCGATTACAAACAATTAAAAAGAAAACTAAAATACAAAAACAACAAATGCTCATCAAAGCAATTGAGGCCAAAGATCTAGAGATGTGTGAATATATATGTATGTACGTACATATGTATGCATGCACGTATGTACGCTCATACTATAAACGGATAAATATTTGTACATTGTTGTGTTACTTTTATGGTAAACACACTTATACATACATACATACACACACACACACTAACACTAACACTCACATAAACTCAATTGACGCACCCACACTGCCAGCAAGAAAGCAAAGGTAAAACAATTAGAACGCCAACGAACGCCTGCAACAGAAGCCAAAGGAAGGATACAATGAACAATGAAATGGGATGTAATCCGACCAAAAACGGAAAAATAGTGAAAGAATGGATCAAAAAAAAAANATATAAGTAGCACGTAGTATAAAGTAGCACGAATAAGTGGGAAAAAAAGAAATGAAATAAAATAAAATTACAAAAAAAAAAAAAAACTAATATTAAAGAAATATTACAAATAATTAAAAAAAAATATAATATATACAAAAAAAAGTTTAAAAAATTAAAAAAATCAAAGAAAAAAAATAAATTATTTAAATTATTTAAATAATTCAAAAGTTTAAAAAATAAAATTAGAAGTTATAAAATTAGAAAAATATAAACAAAAAAAAAACGGTAAAAAATGAAATTAAAAAAATATTAATTATTTAAGTATATAAAAATGTTAAATTAAATAAAAAAAAAATTAAAAAATTTGAAAAATGTAAAAATTCTAAAAAAAAAATTATATAAAATAGATAAAAATTTTTAAAAGTTCTAGGAATTTAAGAAATTCGCAAATAAAAAGTAAAATAAAATTAAAAAATTAGAAAAATTAAATCACTTAAAATACACAAATTTTTTTAAAACGTTAAAGAACTTCGAAAATAAAAAAATTAAAAATAATTAGAAAAATATAAAAAATTAAAAGGTAAAAAATATAAATTATTCAGAACATTATATATATATATATATATAAGTGGCGCTTTATAACCGCCGAAGCGATTCTCGGCCGAGCTCCTCCTCCAATTTGTGGTTTTGCGTCTTGATGTTTTTTCAACAAATGGAAAATATTATAAAATGTAAAAAAAATGATTAAATTCGAAAATAAAAAAATTAGAAAAAATTTCGTAAAAAATGTATTTATATGTATATATACATGTGTCAGTGTGACAAGGAAATATAACACCTTGAAATTAACAGCCTACGAATTTAAAAGTAGAATATTCAGAAATTGTTAATAAAAAATAATCCAACTCAGGGTTGCTTAAATAATGAGAGATAAAAAAAAGTATGAAAAATAAAATACAATAACCACAAATCTCCATCTTTTAACGAAGAATTTTACTCTTTAGTGAACTAAGTACAGAAAAAAAAAAAAAAAACTTATTGGTAGAGCCGAAAAATGTGAACCTGTCCTGGGAAAGACTCGTAATGATGAACAAAGAGAGCAGCGATGTACATCATTGATCTATAGCGCTCTCTAATCCCAAATCCTTTTCATATTTGCGTAATTCAGAAGTTTTCAAAAACTTCAGACTTGAAGGATTTATTGTTGGATGTACAATGTTAGTTTACTCTATCTGCATGACTTTTAGTTATTTTTGTTTTCTTCTTGCCGGTAAGTGTTAAGTAATGTTGTTATTATTCTTAGGCAAGGCTGTAGACGTTCTTTTCGATGGCCTATCACGCCTCTCTCTAACCAATGCCTACCTTTTATTTTCTTTTATTTTTTTGGTCTTATTTTATAGCATGAGATCCTGTAGTAAAGAAATATTCTCGTCCGTTAGGCCTATTTGCTTTGTTTGCAACTTCGTTTCTTTGCCTTTCTATATGCTCCAGAACCCACGTAATTTATTTTCCGGACACATTCCTCCATACGATGTGGCCCGGTGCAGACAAGATAAGACACATTACTTCATCTTACATCTCTTGGGCCTTCTGGAACTATAGACCTTGAAGTTGGGTAAACTTTAAAGTAAAGCGATTCGGTACTAATTCAAATATTAATGGAGTTGAACTTCAAGCAGTTCGTTTAGTCTTTTTTGCATCTCTTCTAACTTGGCTTTCGCAAAGTTCACAGCGTTGCCACTAGTCATAAGGGTATTATTAATCAGATAGCCCTAAATCTCACTGAGTTTTTACCATCTCTTATGCTGAGGGTTTTTTTTTTAATGATATGCCACTGCCCCAGTGATGTTCTTCTCGCTTCTTTAACGCCGAGCGGGTTTGTCCAATCAAATCATGATGAAGGAGTTTTAAAAATCGTAGGTTAGACATGAACTGCACAATATTTGACCTGACGACCATCAAAGAGCCATTGGGGATACTCAATATTTGACAGTTCAATACCATTGCTTTAAATACATGAACTACCGAGGCTAGGTGCTGAACATTTTTGGTAAAGAGAAAAGCTCTTGTGCTTCTGATTATCGTTGGAACTATTGGATTTTAGTCGCCTCTTATTGGCTCCGATTTATACTTTCTATTCCTGTAAATTAGGGCATGAAACTTAACAAGAGACAAGTCACGAGGTACGAATACCCTTTGAGAACAAACATCGGGTATGCTCTGTAGGGCATGCCAGCTATGAAGGTCAACTAAAGAGACTTATTTTCATACAGCAGAGAATGGAAGACTTTCTGAGGGAAAAAAGACAAGAGTTTTAACAACCCAAAGAAACTCGGCCGGTTCGAAGACTGGTCTTAATGCTATAGGAACATTTTCACATCATCAATATTTCTAATTCTCAACTCATTCGCCCTCAACGCACTTAATAAACTTGAAGACTAGATAGATAAGACTTTGAAAGTCCTTACTCTATGCTCACCCGAAGATCATATAAGACCATATCTCCATTCCTCCTCTTCGGTGTTTGGGCGCACTAAGGCGCCGGTCGCTGATGGAAGTAAGGGACGAGTGGTCAACAATGCGTGCTACTAGGTGGCGGTTCATTGGCTCGAAATCCTGACCAGACCAGTATTTCAAATTTTAGCAAACAATTTTCCAATTGCGATCGTCTTGATAAAAATAAATCAGCCCTACGGAGGCGGCTTAGGAAAAACCATCTAGCTCCCTCGAAACTTCAAGATGCATACCACGAAATGCAGAAGAAGCTCTATACTAATTGCTTTCTTTCGGTAGTTGATCACCTCGAATGTCCTTGAAAGTCTCTACTCTAATACCATTTCAATCGATAGCCGACTCCACGGTGTGGTTTCCCTAGTGGAAACGTTTATTGCCTGCTGTATGAGAGCAAGGGAGATGCAATGTTCAACTTTATTTCCTCGTATCCGAGTTAAAAATATCTAGGTAGTAACAAAATAGTTTGTACTATTTTTGTATTCATAACTGTAGGTGTGCCGCCTATGTAACCAAGCCGCTGACCAACAAAACCGACGTGTGGGCGCTGCAAAGTGTTGGAAAGTGGGGTTATTTAACTCCTACATATACATACGTGTTTGTACGCCAACGTAAAGGAATCAAGCGATGTGTCTGTAGTGAAGTGTATGAAGTACAACTATGTATGTGTATGTGTATATGTATGTATGTGGGTGTGTGCGCAAAGTGTTCTGCAGATTTAACGTCGTTTCGTTTCACTTTTCTACCGTTCATTCTTTTGTCTAACAGACATACATATGTACATATAAAGACATGTTTACTTTTTTTGTTGTATTTTCAGCTTTTTTGGCTTTGATTGTTGTTCTTTTCCTTCTTTTTTTTTGGTTTGGTTTGGTAAGTACTCTTTTGTCATTTGCGGTTTTTTGAGGCGAATAAAAATATGTGTCATATGCACACAATTACTCTTGAAACCACCAAACACACACATATTTACAAACACGAAAATACACAAATACCGAAAAATTAAAAATTCTGAGTAAAAATATGTCTGTAGATATGAAGAAATGTTGTTACAAAGGGAGGCGCAGAAGTTCGATGGAAGGCAATGTGGCTGGGACTCTTACTAATTGGAGATCACCATGGGGGTTCCGTCTGAAATATTGAGTAAAACCGAAAAGGTATTGAAAATGACTGCCGCCCTAGAAACCTAGAAGGCCAACAGATCTAAGCAGTTTTCCGAGATGAGTTCGCATAGCATTCCAGAAGAAGTTCAAATCGACGTAGTTGGAATTTTATAGGAATATTGAGCATCCATCAAAATTTGGTTTCTAAGAACCTGCAGATACTACGAGCTTAAAAAGGAACATTTTAAGAGGCCTTTAAAAGAAAAAAAAACAATAAAACTTACTGCTCCTGTGGGAAAACTTTCCTATGGAAAGGCAACGACAGTTGAACCTGTCGAGATCACCTAACAGACGATCCAAGAAACCCACTCGAACCAGAGTGAGAGGAGTGATAGATGAGTGGGTTT